ATTCCTGCTAACTGAATCCTTTAAAACAACAAACAAAATGTTTGCTTATGCATAAAGATGCCATTTCTAGGCTTAGTTACAGGAAAGTTCTAGGTCAGAGATGATGTTCAGTGTTAATGCAAGCAAAGCAAAATGCAGAAGCTGAAGGGAACAAGAGTAACACCACAGTGCCCCATGATTTTCTCACACAGGTTCTAACCAGGCTTGGGCTAGAGCACTTCAACAGGGTACAAAGAGGATTATAGCAAGCAGGGAATGAATAACAGCATGCAGAGCATTCCCATTAATCTGACAATTGAGCATTATTTTCACTTCCTTGTAAGAGCAGAGCTTTTACCACTTAGAGGCCCATCACTCAAACTTAAAAAAAACCAACAAGCCACCAACAAAAAACAACCAAAAGCCCAAACTTGCAGTTTCTGAAAGGAAGCCAGTCCTGATTTTCAGATCCAGATTAAGCCTCTCTCTCCTCTTTAATCAGGCCATCTGAATGAATGGCGCTTCATAAAAGATTAATGATAAATACAGCCACCAGACAAACAAATGTGAGCTGTTTAGCTGCAGGACAGTTAGATAAGAAAAAAAGTGAACAGAAGGCTCAGAATTCCAGAACAGAGCTCCTAAACCCAGCATTTTGGGTGACTTACTTTCAAGCAAACCCACTGCTGATGGCATCTATCTTTGTTTACCAATAACAAGTGCCTGTAATAGCACTAGGGCTAGCAAACCTCCCTTGTCACAGGGCAGCTCTCAACAGAGAAAATTCCTGTGAATGTAAGAATGAACATTTTCTCACTTGAGGTTATCCAGCTGGCATGTTTGCAACATTTGGTTGCCTTCCGTTGTGATCTGGTACAGCAGCAAGCTGTATGATATAAAGCTGAAAGAGGCTGCAGAACTGAAAATATTTGTTAGTCTAGAGCCATCAAATGATGGCAACACCTTACTGACAGTATGACATACAATTATTTTAGATTGAGTTTTAGACAAGGCTTCTTGTTCTCTGAACATAAGCTTATTCAATCAAAAAAGACAAGAAAAAGCAAGAACACAAACTAGCTTTGCTGTTACAGTTTTTGCATTGCAAGATTAAACTAAAACCATAATATGAAACAGTTAATACATTAATTTACTGTTAAGGAGAACTCAGCAGACTTTCCTGTAGTTGATAATGTTAACACATATGTGGTTCCAATCAGAGTAGTGTTTTCTTCTAATAAAAGGTAGATCCTGGTATCTGCTAAGACTAATATTCTAGAGTACTGCAGTCTGCTTTAATTAGCAGTATCCCAGAAAAAAAAATTTACACATACTTTTGACATTTCAATGTCCAATTTCAAATACTAATTAATTTTGTCGCTACAGGGTAAGAGATGCTTCAGAGCCTCCTAAAATCCAAATCCCAGTAGGTACATCAAGCTGGCCATTCAAAAACAGACAGCTCATCCCTAACTTCTGCAGGTTGAGACTTCAGTACATGAATAAATCATTAACAGGCACTGTCCATGGCCTCCATGTAAATATGGGCCAGAACATTGCTAATCATTAGTATAAGTTTTTAGAGAAACAACACATGGTTTACCTCCCTTCACAAAAGGGCTATTTTGTGATCTACATAACCTACTTGCCTTAAGAGATTTCTGTAAGGAAGTGCACTCCTATGCGTAACTGGCATGACTCTTTACCACCAGTACTGAAAATCACATTAGGATGCCTAAGCTGTACTAAGAACAGCTGAATAGACCCAGCATTATAGTGGTTGATGTAAAGATCTATTTTCGTGGCATTTCATTCCTTTAGTAAATGCTGAATTTCTAAACATTCATACCACCTTTTAGTTAGCTTTCTCTGAAAGGAGAAGGAAGAATTCTATGTTAGAAAATCTGACTTTCAATTCCCAGAAGAATACTGCTTTGTAAAAACTCCTACAGTCCTCGAACAGAACATTCCACCAAAATTGTGTAACTTGTCACACTGTGCAAGACCAAAAAAAACACAAGGCCTTTATTGTCAGTTTAGTTTTATAAAATCCCTGTGAGTTTGCCTCAGTGCAGGATGATGAAGGTGCACTGTGCAACTACAGAGCTGAATAAAGAAGCTACAGCCATGATTTTTATACTTGAAGAATTCAGATTAGGCAGAGTACCTGGAACTAAACTCATTGTATTCACTTCTATAGCATGCTGCTGCCATGGCAACTGAATTACAAGAAAAAGCATCAGATCTTGCTGTCACTGACTCACAACAGTACACAGGCTTCTCCATCACCCGGCACTAAAGACAGAAGTTAGAATTCCTTGTGTTCCTTAATTCCAAGTATTGGTGATTAGATAAAACTTGGAGCAACCTGGACACACTTAACATAACTTAAATTCCCAACTGTCTGGGAATTAAGTACCTTCTTGGCTTTTTTTATTCATCAAGCTTGCAGTTTCCTTCCTTCTGTTGGTGCTGTTAATGTCAATGGAGTCACCTGTCAACTACTGGTGGCTATAACCCCTTGGACGCACTCCAGAGCAACTTAAAGCACAAGGATGTGAAGTAACATTCTGCCCTCCAGAGTCTGAGGAAAGCTTTGTCCTCCCAGCACACAATGACTGGATTCATAGATTCTGAGCATCTTCCGACATTAACCGTTCCCAATGCCAACAGCATTTTGGATTATAATGACACTGTGAACATGTTAAAGGAGCATCATCTTAGTTCCTTTCTTGGGGTAACGCTAGATGCCTCACTAGCCAGCTTCATTCTATTTTAAGCCTATCCATCCTGTGCATTAGTACCTTGTAGCAATGTCGTCATTTTCACCACCGCTGCCCCAGTATGTGTTGGGAAACCCATTCATCTTCATGTAATGTTCTGGAGTCAGAGCAGATACACCCCCAAAAAAGGACTTATATGGCAGACTAAAAGAGAAAGGAAAAAAAGCATCAATATTGAAGGCTAATACCAGTCCTCCACCAACTAATAATGTGATCCAAGTCACACATATATTAATCACACATTTTACAGATGCTGTCCTTACAATGCCAAACCCCAAAATAGCAAAACCAGTGTAACCCCTACCCTGTTCCATTCCCCCCACCTTCCCTCCCAGTAGACCAAAGTAAAGAGGGTTTTGAAATTCACATCTTGGGTCAGTTCAAAATATCTGCATACTATCACACATCTTCCACACAGCCAGCAACTCCCGCTCTTACACTGGAAGGAAAGGCAAACAGAAATCTGCCAGTCATTTGCCAAGCTGAACTAACGGTGAAACAGGTAACTGCAGGCAAGGAACTGTTCAAGACCGCATGCTTAGGTCAAGAATACCCTAGAGAAATCACTACTGCAACACTAACAAACAGAAAACCTCTTAAAGGTTCTATCTTTCACTGTCCCCATTCATACATTCTATGCAGAATGTGAACGAATTAGGATACATACTTCCAAAGCAAATGGAGGCACTTACGTGTACTGAAACTTATCCATGGCACTAGCCATATGCTTGGGATAGTATTCATCACAAACATAGAGATTGTAATCATTCTCAGGTACTAGGTCAACATCATGCAGGAGAAGGCAGTCCCAGTCTTCATCCTTCAGGGCCTCCCGGACACCAACATTAAGCAGCTTTGCTCGGTTAAATGTACCATTCCCCACCTAGAAAAGAAAACCTACATTTCTTCACCAAAACAACAAAGACAATAACTCAATTAACATTTATGTTAGTAAAAAAGCCTTAATCAATTGAATGACACTGGAATAAATCAATATTGGCTGCAAATTTCATGCCCCAGACTCTGAAAATTTCACCCATCCTCTTCACAATATTCTCAACAATTGTAAGCTTTGCTGTGTCAGGGGCTATATACCATGGGCACCTGAAGAAGGATGACTTTTAGGAGACCAGTAAGTCAATCCTAAGGTGCACATCTGCACACCAACACTTTTGCCTTGACTACTGCTTATTAAAGCTTAGAAATAAGAAAAAGAGATCTTGGTCAAACAAAAAAAAAGCTGCTTCCCCCTCCCAATCAACTATCAGTTTTAATTAGTGAATCCAAAACTTGCGCTCTCACCACCAATCTTTTGCAACATCAGTCCATGTCAGTTAAAAATGGCTGTCTGACCTGCATAGGCTGCCCCACAGCAGGGTCAAGCCAGATGTTTTTATTTGATACAGACTAAAAATATCCAAGTTAACCTTAGCATTTAAGTCTCAACAGCATTGCTCAGTAGCCACACTGACAAGCTACAGACAAACCACATTCAACTCTTGAACAGCTGAAAATACAAGTTACCACTTAATGACAACTTTATCCCTCTAGAAGGAAAAAAAAAAGCAGAACCTATCAATAGCAGAAATGAAAATCTTGACAAGTGGCATGATATTTCAATCATTAGCATCCATAGTGATGGCACAGCATATAACTGACCTCCCCTCAAGCCATGCATAAAGCAGTACTTCCTCATTAGAAGATTCACATTTCTTGCTCAGAACCTAACCCTTAGCTGGGAAGCTCACCTACACCACCAGGCACATTTGATTTAGATTTACCTGCTGAATCAAGTAGATTCTGTAACTGAGCTGCTGGCGCTGCAAGAAAGGGTGAATATAGTAGAGAAGGTGGTGAAGGTACTTCTCCTGGTTCCTGTAGGCTATAAGGATGGCTGACTTGTAGCGGGCCAAGCAGTGAGGTGGCCTGTAGCGTCCACCAGACTGAACAAAAGGATTTTTTTTGATGATCATTCTTTCACTAGGGAGCACCCTGAAGGTGATGGTTAGTGGACCAACTGTAAGGAGAAACAGAAAAAAGAAAAAAAAAGAGTAAGATCAGCAGTGTTTCTCAACCTTCATGTAGCTAATCGGATAGATTTGAATATGCTTACTGTTTAAGACACCAGTCCTCCCACACAACAGCGAACAGCGCCATGCAGATGCACCCACATGATGAATTCCACTATTGCCTGCTGATCACCTCCCCACGGCTCCACACCAAAGGGTGCCAGGCTCAGCACCAGGATGGCTGGCTACCTGCCAGATGCATCCCGAGTCCCGGCACAGCCGGCAAGTCTCACCAGGCTCCTGCACAGCTTGCTTTTTCCTGGTATTGGCTCCCTACTACACAAGCAAACCTCATGCTGCTTAGATGGGATCCTTCAATAAATGTATTCACTGTAAGAATAGCATTGAAAATGAATCAAGATGAATAGACATATCTGCTTTTGCTGCCCCTATGGAAAAAGTCTCTAAGCCTCTTTCTGAGGAGATTCAAGGACAAAGATGTCCAAAGGGATATTCACCAGGATGCGGGAGAAATATTTTAAAGCCTGGATGAATACAAACGCTTTAGGAAATGTTAGGTTTATGTTAAAAAAAAGTTTCAATCTGATGTTATCATCACATGCCACAAGGGCTGTATTTGCTATATTATTTAATTATATACACTGTGATAAGCAGGCAGTACTTCAAAGTTTTCGGAGAAGCCGATGGAAGGAAGAAGAGAGATGTTACAGTTTCAGGAACAGGTGCAGGGTAGCAAAAGACACTACACATGGTAGTTCCTTTACTCAGAACCTCCATTTTAAATACAAAACATACTGGATATGTTCAACAGTTTTTACCTAATTAAAAAAAACACTGCATTTTTATATGAATCCTTCCATTATTCAAATGGAAAAAGCTTGACAAGTCACAAGTAAGAAAGAATCAAAATAAAGTGTCAATCACCATTTTAACACAAGTCTCATATTGTTACAATATGAATAAAAAATTCTACAATTATTTAAATGCCTGTCCTTCTGGGTTGTGAGAAACAGTTCCAGAACTAGCAGAACAGTGAATACTAGCTGTATTTATACACAAATCGATGTGTCTTAATGGTTTCCAACCACTGTCAACTTCTAAGAAAATGCACAAATGCAGAACAAGATTAAAATCTATTACTTAAACGAACTTCACCTAAACCACAACTAAAAGCTGACAATGTCAAAAGACAGTTTTAAGTAGGAACAACAATTCTCTGCAGGCCATGCTACCCAAGGACGAAATTTTTTTTTTGCACCAGAAGACTGTGAGGCAAATTTTTGGGGGTTTTTTGTCTGCTTGGTTTTGTTTTTTAAATAGGTCCAAGTGAGATTTTTTTGTTCCTTCCAAGCTCATAGTTAATGCATGGCTGTCTTAAGCAAGTTTTCAGTGTCTTGTAAGTCAGACTCCCTCTTAAACCACTGAAATAAATCTTCTCTCAAAAAACTTCTGATAATGAAGCCTGAGAGAGAAAAAGAAAATATTTAGGCCTGGTGTTTAGCAGCTTTCATTTCAGCAGGGAAAGGTACAGGTGTATCATAGGTCTAATTAAATATTTAAGCAGGTGAGTCCAGAAGATTCTTCTTCCAGCCCATCCTACATTCAAGTCACTGCTACAATTCTAATGAGGGGGAAAAAAAAAAAGAGCCTGTGTTCATCCACATCCTGTTTAACTGACACAGAAGAAAAAAACCATCCCTCTACCGGTTTTTGGGCTTGTGGGGGTTTTTTGAGCACTAACAAGGCTTAGGGACTAAATGTAGCATAAGATTCAAGCAGTTCATTCCAAACTGGGAAATAGTTTGCTAGTATTTGGAAGCTGGTATACCTCACATTTCTGGTGGGCAAACTGGTACTCGGCAAGCGTCTGCTTTTCTTCCTCAAGGAACACACATAATGGCATCTCCTGCAGGTCCATCTGAACAGCCACTGATCCCATTCCTCACACTGTCAAAAAGGTCTACCACTGTGAATCCCACTTCATGGTTTGTTTTTGTTGGTTGTTTTTTGTTTGTTTTTAAAAGGAAAACCTGCATTTTGCTTGTCAGCAAGATCTTGCAATAGCTGACTCTTAAGTATCACTTTTCAGTCCTCCCCTAAGTATCTAAAATGCAGGAGGAATTTGATTTTGACTGCGTTTTACCCTCAGTAGGAACCTGGAGTACATTGCCATACCTTTGTACCTGAAACAGAAGAGTAAGTAGTTCCTTAAGGAATCATGCTGTGGGCCCATGAATTTAGGTCACATTTACAGTTAGGATTTTATGAAATTATTACCTACTTCTAAGCAGACAGTTTCCTTTTCTGCCTTTAAGACCACCACGTTTCAGTCCAACATTGTTTTTAACCTGTAGTTTATGTTGCTTTTTAGATTTATGAACTCCGTGATTATCAGATCTTTTAACTAAAGCATCATTAACCACTGATTTGATGACAACTGGATCTTGCTAAAGAAGTGTTATATTCAGATTGGATTTCAACTACAGACCACTGCTTCAAGAAAAATATAAGAAAGGGAATTAATCCCTTTTGTTTTCCCACAAAGGCAAGGTTTTGTTTTCTATAATACAGTCAGGACTCTTTGTATTGCAAAGATTCTGCAACAATAATCCTTAAATTAAAAAAAATTCAAATCTAAATTTGGACATAAGGGCATGAGTAAGATAACGTACAATAGTTTCACTCCTGTTGTCTCATTCCATACCCAAGCACATGATTCATGAGGGCAATATCTGCATTCTTCACGTTTTTCAAGATGTCTTGTTCTCCCAAGCTGCCTGGCTCCGTACCTCAAACAACTCAGCTCAGAAACTCAATCTCGTATATGCCAAGGAAACACAGAAAAAAATAGTCTGTGATTTACATCTCTCAAACTTCTGGCTGCCCTATGTTCCTTGGCTACAAGCTAAATTTGGGGTCTCAGGTCTCCTTCCTGCCTGACTAATGAAAGGCTAATACACTGTAATCCAGTTAAATCCCAGATGTGAACAGAGCAGCTGCGGGCTGCACCAAATAGGGAAGAGTAACACCACTAAAGCGCATCTTTGGAAAAGGAGGAAAAACACAACTGAGACATGCTAGAAAGTACAGGATCCCAATTCAGACAAGGTACAGAATCAACATCCTGACTGTCCAAGCAATTTCTCCATAATCTGGTTCCTAAGCACTTTCTGTGCCTGTACCATCACATGGACGGTGTTCAATGAATATGAAACTCTAAGCATGTAGAGTTAAAACTCACAATTCCCTGTCTGTATTGTTGACTGGCGCCAATGACACCATATTCTCTGCTTGCTTTACTTTCTAGGCAACACATACGACTATCAGGGGATCTACTGATTTTGACCAGGTCTATCCCATCTTAAGAAAGAAACTACATGACTTCTAAATTCCTTGCTACACGTTTAGAGTTAGCAGCTATAATTACTGAGTTCAACCAGAATAAGCAGAACTTACACAAGCTAAACAAATGGAACAGTAGCATGAATACCTCACTGGGAAAGCGCAGCAGCACACAGTACATTAACAGTCATATTTGTATAATTCTACCACTGTTTGAATAAAAGAAAAAGAAAGCAGCTTAATTTAAGCACCAGCTTCTAACGACAGAAACAAGGCTGCCTCAACTGCAGCTGAAAATAAATCTCAGCTTTACCACCTTTTTACTTCTCTTTAAATTCAAGAGAAGAAACTCTAGTAGGAGAGTATCCATTAGACACTCATTACCACAACAGATGGTCACATTTATGAAAAGGTTATGACAGATGGGAGTGAAAGGGAGGAATATACTGTAAGAAGGGCTTGGAAAAATTTTTTTACATGGCATGAGCATATTTAAAGCAGCAGAGTTACAGACAGAACTTTCAACTAAAGTCCTCAAGGGCCAAACCGCCTTGTTCAGCACATACCATGCATGAAGTAAGGTACTGATTTAAAACAAAACGAAACAAAAAAAAAAAAAAACGAAAACCCCAAAACAAACAAAAAAAGACTTCTAGCATCAAGCTTCCTCCTGGTAAGAGGAAAAGATGAACTGAAACAACACATCTTGTGTGTAATTTGAGAAAGTCAGATTCTGAATTTAAATACTACTTCATTAAGTTTGAATAAGCACAACTCTAGCATATAAACACGTTGCTTATTCCAAAAACAAAGGAGGAGGAAACAAGCAACTGGTTATTTGTGTAGAAACTTTAACCTTTAAGGTAACTTGAGTAATTTATTCACAGCAATAATGAAGACGCTGATTATCTAGTACAATACTTTTCAAGTTGTTGGTCACAAAAGGTTCAATGGATACCACTACGCATTAAAAAAGTAACATTAGTCAGCCAGAGTCTAGTTCCTCCAAGGCAGAAATGTTTAGCAATTACACTTCAGTTCTTGCTCCACAGGTAGGAAAAAAAAAGACAGATGAGCTGCAAGCTGATCTTACACTCAAACAGTTACCAAAATGATCTAGTATATACATAAGTGGAAGAAGTGCTGCACTTCATAAAAGCCCTGATGCAGAACCCATTTAAGCCATTTGGCATTTTTCCAGTTACCTTAACAGGTTTTGGAGTGGACACTGACTTATTACCAGCTCTGAATTGGAGACTGGAGTCCTCAAGAATTGATGTGAATCTCATTTTAATGGAGTTTATGAAATTAATATTAAAAGGCATCGTTCTCGCTGATATAACGCTTCCAAGAGAGATCAGTCCCATGAGAGAAGATGATAACAACCAATTAAGACATTTATAAAGTATTTATGTATCTATTCATATATGCCCATCACATACAAAACAAAGGGCAACTGCCTTGCAGAGTAGCACCCATTTCTCCGGTAAAAAAAAAAAACAAAAAAACAAACCCCCCCCCCCCCCCCCCCAAAAAACCAAAACACCCCACCACACACCACAAAACCACCCAGAACAGGCTGGCATATAGTGATAACAGAAGGAATAATTTATTCTTGTATTTAAAGGGACATATCACCAAGTAAAAGTTAAGTTGTAGCAGAGCAGTCATTTTTCTTAAGCTGAATCTGTATCAATGCTCCAAATCACAGAATCACAGAATCATTAAGGTTGGAAAAGATCTTTAAGATCATCAAGTCCAACCATCAACCCAACACCACCAAGCCCACTAAACCACGTCCTGAAGTGCCACGATTTGTGTTTCACAGCAACAATGCTTCATATGCTCAACTATAATTTGTTATGCAGCAAAACTTCCACGATTACTTTGCCATGTTTTTTTTTTCTCCCAGGTAGCCTACTGTTTGTTTCTCTCTACAACTAACATTATGTTTTCATTTTAGCTCTGAAATACCACATGCAGGCCAATGCCCTCTGTTCTCAGCATTCTCAGGGATGGGCAGAAGAAGAGGTCTTAAAAAGATTTCACAGCTCTAAGAACATTGATTAGTGTAGTATTACTCTGCATCTGCCTCCTCCATATACGTCTCTACTCTTGCTTATATGATGGTTTGCAGGCAAGCTGCACAGAATTCCACCTAGTTTTGTTTGGTTGTTTTTGTTTGGGTTTTTTTGGTTTTTTTAAGACCAAAGCTTTCTCATTTGACTCTTTTCAGGACAGCAGATGCTCGGCATTAGTGGAGACAAGCAGGGTGCAGGCACATTTCTGCTGTGCTTTTTCAAATAAAACAATTAAGTCTGAAACACAGAATTGTACCTTCCCAAAAGAACTGATGGGCTGTAGCTAGTGATGAACAGAGACTGCACTAAAACCATTACAATTGGCACCTATGCAAAAAGGCTCTGTACTATTAGTATTTCACTATTTACTAAGTTGACCTGCTTCCAAGGCAAATGCTGAAGCATACACTCAAAAGTTACCACACAATTTCATCGTACATACTGCATGTATTTCATTTAACTTCAGCAACAGAGAAAGGAAGAAAACTTCCCAAAAAGAACAAGCATCATTATGAAGATTGCAGTCTAAAAAGGCTCATCCAACACATCCCAACAGAGTCCTCTAACCAAAGTAAGCAACTTGACACAACAGTATCCCAGCACTAGCTTTCCACAATATTTCCACCTGTGAACAAAGGTCTGCCATTTGTTCTTACTGTGCTCCAAGTGGGGTGAGAAACTTTCCTAGAACAGCAGGGCAACTACTAAGTAGTGCTCCTGGACTAGTTATATGCAAGACTTAGATATGCAGAAAACTGCACAGTATGGAAAAAACAGACAAGCATAACTTACTACACAGTACTTTAAGAAGTAGGCATCCCCAAACCAGCTGTAAGTGCATGCTTACAGAACTCACCCATTCTTGGCTGGCTGAGTGGAACCGATCACTATTACTGGAGATGCACCACTTTACTGCCAATAAACTTGCTTTATAGTTGGCTTTGTACTGACTTAAAGTTTCTCAACTCTTAGTAGTGCAATAGCTGCCTCTAGGATCAGCTCTAATTTGGTCCTAGTGTAAATACAAATTAACCTGTGACCAGACCCTTTAATTCTAAAGGAGACTTCTATGACCAAAGGATGCATACCAATCATAGGCCAAAAAAATCACTATGAAGAGCAAGGTGTCAAGCTACATTCTCATACAAGTGATATTTAACGCCAACTTAATCAGTTAACTTAATCAATTTATATTGAACTACAGGCTTGACATAAGGCTGAGACAAAAAACCCAGTAGTTAGAGCGTGTCAGAGATCAAAATTATGCATTTATCAAAGCACAGTTATCGGCACGTTTTATACAGGACTGCCAAGGAAAAAAACCAAGATACTAACTTGGTATTATCATCATGCACTGTTTTCACTCTTGTTCTACAATCTCTATGTAGCCAAATCCTTAATACAGCAAGTTTTTAGAGCAGGAAAATACTTTTCCTTGTATAACCAATAAAAATGAGTTAATTAAGAAAGTTTTGGCAGTGTAAGTATTACCTCAGTATACCACTTTTAAAGTGGAAAAGTTTGAAAAATATACAGCTTACAAAGTGTTCACTGTTATCACATACAAAAGCAGTTATTTCAAACTACCGGTTCATACCCACCAAATATTGGTGACTGAGCTGAGCAGTACGGCATGGCTTCTTCATTAGGAGCTTGGGTAAACAAACTGAGGTTTGTATACACATCGTGAGTTTTTGAGTAATCCAGAACCTGATGCGAGTCTAAAAACCCACGAAACAAGTTGGAAGGTCCACCTCGGTAGAGTATCAGGATAAATATTGCTTGGAAGACAAACAGAAAGAGCAGAAAACAAGGATTTTCGACACGAGAGAAGGACATAGTTTCAGCCCATGCTCTGGAATCAGACCGGTGAGGAGTTTAATCGCCTTCCACGAGCTGCCGTTCTACGTTCAAGGCTATATCGCTGTGCACGGAAGACCTCCTCCTCCTCCTCCTCCTCTTCTTCGAACTT